TTGCCTGGGTCTGCCCTCCATCGATGGCTCCAGTGAGCCTGTACTTAAAGACCAGAGCTGCTTCAGTTCTTTGCTAGTCTGTCAGCTACCTCCTGTTCTCCTCGTCCAGTCATCACTTTGCTTACCTGCAGTCAATTACCTGAACACTGGTTTTCTTGGCAAGATTTTCCAAACTCACTGCTGATTCTGATTACTGTCAGAATATAGGAATACATGCTGCTTTTGATCTGACCACATGGTGTTGGTCAGCATGGAGAGAGATTGCTGATGAAGACTGCACAGAGAGCTGCTCTCAGACATCACATTTTAAGACAGATCAAGTACTGACATGCTGTACTAATTTGGGAACAGATCTCTTTGGGACCTTTATGGAAACAAAGAGCATTTCAAGGGACCCAATGCATTTAAAAATGACCCTGAACATTATACACTGCCGGGCCAAAAAAAAGTCGCCACCTGTTGGACAGTTACTGCATTGGCAACAAGTTATTTAACCCCAACTGGTGCAATGAGTTGCTTCTCATTTCATAAACAACCATGTCGAGAGACATCACGTGGTCCTGGAAAAGATGTTAGTGTGTTTGAGAAGGGTCAAATCACTGGGATCCATCAAGCAGAGGAAACGTCTGAGGAGAAAGAACTGTCCAACGCATTATTAAAAAGTGAAGGATAGTGGGGACTCATCGTCTTGGAGGAAGAAATGTGGCCAGAACAAAGTCCTGAATGATCATGATCGGCAATCATTTAATGTTTGGTCAAATCAAATTGAAGAAAAACAACAGTAGGACTCAGGGCTATGTTTAATAGTGAAAGTAAGAGCATTTCCACACACACAATATGAAGGATTGGGACTGAACAGCTGTTTAGCCGTAAGAAAACCACTAATCAGTGAGGCAAACCGGGAAAAAAGGCTTCAGTTTGCTAGGGAGCATAAAGATGGGACTCTGGAGCAATGGAAGAAGGTCATGTGGTCTGATGAGTCCAGATTTAGCCTGTTCCAGAGTGATGGGTGCATCAGGGTAGGAAGAGAGGCAGATGAAGTGATGCACCCATCATGCCTAGTGCCTACTGTACACGCCTGTGGGGGCAGTGCTATGATCTGGGGTTGCTGCAGTTGGTCAGGTCTAGGTTCAGCAACAGCATGTGCTCCACGAACGAGGTCAGCTGACCAGCTGCTATGGACCGCAAACGCCTGCAGAGAGTGATAACAACTGCGGAGAAGATCATCAGGACTCCGCTGCCCTCTCTGCAGAGCATCTACGTCACAGAGTCCAGAGCTGCCTCCACCCTCAAAGACCCCACACACCCCCAACACGGACTGTGCACACTTCTGAAGTGTGCACATCAGGTCATCCTGCATATGAAGCTCTTTGCACACATCTGTTTCACACCTCCATATTTTGCTTCCTTTTCTGTCTTCATTTATTTATTTGTACTATTTGTATTTTATATGTTCTGTTTCTATTGTATATATTAATCGGCGTCTGTGGGTGGACAGCAGAAAGA